GTAGCTGGGATTACCACTGTACCTAGCTGTACTTTGTTTCAAATTCACTGATTCTTTCCTTTGTCCTCTCCATTCTGCTATAAGCTAATCCATTGAGTTATTTTTAAGATTTTGGTTATTGTATATACTAGTTTTCTGAGTACTGTAACAAATTACCACAAATGGGATGACCTAAAACAACAGAAATTTATTCTATCACAATTCTGGAGTCCAGAAATCCAAAATAAAGGTATTTGTTGTCTTTTATTTTGTTTTAGATTTTAAAAACTTAGATATTTTAATCAGTTGAATTATTTGAATCTTATTCAGATCCTGAGTCAAACAAACACTTATAATCAATAATATATGAGCTAGTTACATAAATGTGAACAGTAAATGAATACTTAAGAATATTGAGGATATCAAGTTTTAAACTGTAATAATAGTATTATGTTAATGATTTTTACTAAAAAGAGTTTCTATCTTTAAGAAATAGGTAAGTAAAATGCTCAGAAGTAGATTAATAGGATGTCTGGAATTTACTTCCAAAGCGTGTGTGTGTGTGTGTGTGTGTGTGTGTGTGTGTGAATGAGATGGAAGGATGGATTAAATAAGACTGGCCTTTATGTTGTTACAGCCTGATAATAATGATGTGTAAGTTCATTACATTATTTTCTCCACTTTGGTATATATTTGAAATTTCTGTAGCAGAGAGTTAACGAAATAGTTACTGATTCAAAGTAAACTGATATAATTATATCCCTTGTAAATGGTTGTCTACCTATGTGTAAATAAGGTACTTCTTTTATTTTTTAAACTATGGGTCTCTTTTTATTAAGGTGAGATCTCTTGAGACCAATGTTTTATGAATAGAGTTGCCAGATAAAATATAAGACTTGGTTAATTTGATATTTCAGATAAACAATGGCTAGTATAAGACTCAGTTAATTTGTATTTCAGATAAACAAAGTCTAATATTTTAAAATAAGTACATCCCAACTATTGCACTGGACACACAAATACTAAAAAATTAGTTTTTGTTTATCTGAAATTTTAATTTTACTGGGGCGTTCTGTAGTTTTTTTCTACTCTAAGTTCTGGGATACATGTACAGAATGTGCAAGTTTGTTACATAGGTGTATGTGTGCCACTGTGCTTTGCTGCACCTATCAATCTGTCACCTAGGTTTTTAGCTCCACATGCATTAGCTATTTGTCCTGATGCTCTCCCTACCTTCACCCCCACTCCCTACAGGCTTCAGTGTGTGTTGTCTTTTTCCCTGTCTCCACGTTTTCTCATTTTTCAACTTTCACTTATGAGTGAGAACATGTGGTGTTGGTTTTGTTCCTGTGTTAATTTCCTGACATGATGGCTTTCAGCTTCATCCATGTCCCTGCAAAAGACATTATCTGATTTTTTATGGCTGCATAGTATTCCATGGTGTATATGTACCACATTTTCTTTATCCACCAGTCTATCATTGATTGGCATTTGGGTTGGTTCCATGTCTTTGCTTTTGTGACTAGTGCTGTTATAAACATATGTGTGCATGTATCTTTATAATAGAATGATTTATATACCCAGTAGTGGGATTGCTGGGTCAAATGGTATTTCTGATTTTAGATCCTTGAGGAATCACTGCACTGTCTTTCACAATGGTTGAACAAAAGCTAAAATTGACAAATGGGATATAATTAAACTAAAGAGTTTCTGTACAGCAAAAGAAACTATCATCAGAGTTAGCGGGCAACCTATAGAATGGGAGAAAATTTTTGCAATGTACCTATCTGACAAGGGTCCAATATTGAGAATTTACAAGGAACTTAAACAAATTTTCAAGAAAAAAAACTACCCAATCAAAAAGTGGGCAAGCAATATGAACAGACACTTCTCAAACAAAGACATTTATGTGGCCAACAAACATCGAAAAAAGCTCAACATTACTGATCATTAGAGAAATGCAAATCAAAACCACAATTAGAAAGCATCTCATGCCAGTTATAATGACAATTACCGAAAAGTCAAAAAACAACAGATGCTGGTGAGGCTATGGAGAAATAGGAACACTCTTATACTGCTGGTGGGAATGTAAAGTAGTTCGACTTTTCATTTTTTTGAAGTTTTCTTTGCCGTACAGAAGCTCTACCATTTGACATATTCCCATTTACTTATTTTTTGCTTTAAAAAAGTTTTTGCTTTTGCTTTTGGTGTTCTATACAAAAAAATCCTTGTCGAGGCCAATTTCAAAGAGCTTCTTCCCTATTTTTTATTCTCGGAGTTCTATAGCTTCAAGTCTTACATTTAGGTTTTTAATGCATTTTCAGTTGATTTTTGTGTGTGCTGTAGGATGTGTTCAGTTTATTCTTTTGCAGGTGGATGTCCAGTTGTCCAAACACATTTTTTTTGAGACAGAGTCTCATTCCATCACCCAAGCTACAGTGTTTTCTTTATGCTAATAATAAAATATCCAAAAAGGAAATGAAGAAAACAATCGTATTTACAAGAGCATGATCTTGGTTCACTACAACCTGTACCTCCCGAGTTCAAGTGATTCTCATGCCTCAGTCCTTCTGTGTAGCTGGAATTACAGGCATGTGCCACCACACCCAGCTAAATTTTGTACTTTTAGTAGAGACGGGACTTTGCTATGTTGGCCAGGCAGGTCTCAGACTCCCGGCCTCAAGTGATCCACCCACTTCGGCCTTCTAAAGTTCTGGGATTGCAGGCATGAGCCACCATACGCAGCCCAAGCACAAAAGAAACTGTGCTTTTTCCATTGTGTATTCTGAGCACCTTTCTCAAATATTAGTTGGCCAGATATACTTTTTTTTAAAATCTGGGTTCTCAATTCTGTTCCATTGCTCTATGTGTCTGTTTTTATGCTAGTATCATACTGTTTTGATAATTATAGCTTTGTAGTATAATTGGAAATCAGAAAGCGTGATGCCTCCAATTTTAAGGTTATTTTGACACAGGGTCCTTTGTGGTTCCATACAAATTTTAATATTAGTTTTTTTATTTCTGTGAAAAACGCTGTTGGACTTAAACTAGTGATTTTCTTGCATTTGTAGATCACTTTGAAAAGTATGGACATTTTAATACAAATTTTTTCAATCCATAAACACAGTATATCTTTGCATTTATTTTTGTTTTCTTCGGTTTCATCAATGTTTTATAGTTTTTAGTGTACAGATGTTTCACCTACTTGGTTACTTTTATGTGTGTGTGTGTGTGTACATAGATACACATATATGTATATGTATGTATATATATACACACACATATAAGTATATATACATACACACATATGGAGTCTCACTCAGGCTGGAGATTTTGGCTCACTGCAACCTCCACCTCCTGAGTTCAAGTGATTCTCCTGCCTCAGCCTCCCAAGTAGCTGGGATTACAGGCACATGCCACTATGCCCAGTTAGTTTTTGCATTTTTAGTAGAGACAGGGTTTCACCATGTTGGCCAGGCTTGTCTCAAACTCCTGACCCCAAGTGATCCCCCTCCTCAGCCTCCCAAAGTGCTGGGATTACAGGTGTGAGCCACTGTGCCCAGCTATTTTATATATTTTTGATGCTATTGTAAATACGATTGTTTTCTTCATTTCCTTTTTGGATATTTTATTATTAGCATAAAGAAATGCTATTGGTTTTTATATGTTGATTTTATAACCTGCAACTTTACTGAAGTAATTTATTAGTTTTAAGAGTTCTTTGGTGGAGTCTTTAGGATCTTATGTATATGGGATCACTTGGTCCCGTGGAAACAGTTTTTCAGCTCTTACATTTAGGCCTTCGATCCATTTTGAATTAATGTTTGTATATGATGTAAGGTAAGAATCCGATTTCATTCAATTGCATGTGGAAATGCCATTTTCCTAGTACCATTTGTTGAAAGGACTGTCCTATCAGCATTAAATGGTCCTGGCACTATTGTCACAAATAATTTGATCATATATGACAAGATTTATTTCTGGGTTCTCTATTCCATTCCATTGTTCTGTATGTCTATCTTTTTTCCAGTTCCACAGGTTTTGATTACTGTGGTTTTGTGATAAGTTTTGAAATCGGAAAGTACAAATTCTCCAACTTTGTTGTTTGTTTTCAAGTTTGTTTAGGTCTTTTAGGATCCCTTGAGAAAAGCCCATATTAACTTTAGGATGGATTTTTCAATTTCTGCAAAATACTTCATTGGGTTTTTGGGTTTTTCTTGAGACAGGTCTCAGTCTGTCACCCAGGCTGGAGTGCAGTAGCGCAATTACAGTTCACTGCTGCCTCGACCTTCCAGGCTCAGGCAATCCTCCCACTTCAGCCTCACTAGTATCTGAGATTACGGGCACACACCATCGTGGCTGCTAATTTTTGTATTTTTTGTAGAGGTAGGATTTTGCCATCTTGCGCAAGCTGGTCTCAGACTCCTAGGCTCATGCGATCTGCCTGCCTCAGCCACCACAAAGTGCTGGGATTACAGGTGTGAGCCACCACACCTGGCCCAGGATTTTAATAGGAATAAATATCTGTAAATCTGTAGATCACTTTGGGAATATAAACATGTCAACAATATTTAGTATTCCAACCTGTGAACTGTTTACATTTTAAAATAGAATGTACTAGTGTATTATTTGTGTAATCAAACATAAAAAAGTTTTTAGAAAGAGATTTTTGCAGAGGAACTAGTAAATTTCTCATGCCTTTTCATATAACTTGACTGGATCTCAGTAACCAATTTTTAAAGCTTGGAAACAGTTCTGAGGAAAATCATAAATTAGATATTAGGAAAGAAATGATGATCTGACTACAGGTGTTAATAGAAAATATTTATGGCTTAATAATCTGAAACAATTAAATCATGTAATATTGACAAATTAAGCTTATTTAGACATTTAATAGCATTACCTGAACTCAGATATGGTTTTATCTGGCTTATTTTGCTCACTCTAAATAAACTTTAGTCCCATTGATCAATAACCTGTTTTTCTATACACATTGCTTAAAATTGTTTCCAATTCTACAGAGTATCTGTTGGGTTTCATTTCCTGGATGTTATTTGTGAACGTTGTAACTCATCAGAAAATATTGGAAAAGCTCACGTATTCTACGTTGACATGCTTTTACAAAGGAAGGAAGAACTGCTTGCCAAGGAGAAGATTGAAGAAATCATTTTAGGTCAGTAGGATTTTTGCATGTGTTTTAGAAAGGTAATAATTTGTGTATAATTTTTAGATGGTAGAGTAGTTAGCAAAACCCTCAAGTCAACAGATTTCTTTCACTTCCTTTTTTCTTTCCTCCCTAATCGTCTTTTTTTTTAATTTTTTTATTGCATTTTAGGTTTTGGGGTACATGTGCAGAACATGCAAGGCAGTTGCATAGGTACACACATGGCAGTGTGTTTTGCTTCCTTTCTCCACTTCACCCACATTTGGCATTTCTCCCCAGGCTATCCCTCCCCAGCTTCCCCTCCCGCTGGCCCTCCCCTTTTCCCCGCAATAGACCCTCCTAATGGTCTTTTAACAGTAACACCTCACCTGTCCACATCCCACAAATTGGGCATGTGGAATGAGAAACTAAGCAAAAATAAGAAAACGTCATTGAAAACAGACAAACTTCTGAGCTTAAAGCTCCCATCTAGTGGAATATTGTGAAGTTACAAGCCTAATTTCATATCTCTAGTTTGATCTCAAATAAGCTGTATACTTTTGGACAAGTCAATTTCTCTGGACCTTGATTTTTTTCGACTAGAAAATAATGATTGTGAACTAAACTCCTGGTTTTCAACTTCTTTTCTGCAGCAGCATCCTTCTGTGATGCACTTATATGCCCCACCCTGAAAGAAATAGATTAGAGTTTTTCTGGTTAAAGAAGAGATGAAGAGCCAAATCTACTCCGCATTCCCCTAATCCTCTGCCTCGCTGCAGAACTTCTGTACCCTGAAGAACACAGATAGTATAATCCCTTTCTTAGAAAATTTTCTTTACCACCTAGTCCTCTCAACTAAGTTCATGTAGAGATATAATTGGAGTGATAGTCACTAAATGTTAACTCTGGGACTTACTCTGAATGGTGGCATTTTAGGTGATGCGTTGCTTTCTTCTAAATACCACTTTGTTTGAATATTATTTATTTATTTTTTATTGCATTTTACATTTTGGGGTACAGGTAAAGAACATGCAAGATTGTTGCATAGGTACACACATGTCAGTGTGATTTGCTGCCTTCCTCCCTGTCAACTATATCTGGCATTTCTCCCCATGCTATCTCTCCCCAACTCCCCACCCCCTGCTGTCTCTCCTCTATTTCCCACTGGCAGACCTCAGTGTGTGATGCTCCCCTCCCTGTGTCCATGTCTTCTCACTGTTCAACACCCACCCATGAGTGAGAACATGAGGTTTTTGATTTTTTGTTCTTGTGTCAGTTTGCTGAGAATGGTGGTTTCCAGCTTCGTCCATGTCCCTACAAAGGACACGAACTCATCGTTTTTGATGGCTGCGTAATATTCCATGGTGTATATGTGGCACATTTTCCCTGTCCAGTCTATCATCGATGAGCATTTGGGTTGGTTTGAGGTCTTTACTATTGTAAACTGTGCTATAGTGAACATTTGTGTGCATATGTCCTTATAGTAGAACAATTTACAATTTTTTGGATACATACACAGTAATGGGATTGCTGGGTCAAATGGAATTTGTATTTCTAGGTTTTTGAGGAATCGCCACACCATCTTCCACAATGGCTGAACTAATTTACACTCCCACCAACAGTGTAAAAGTGTTCCTATTTCTCAACATCCTCTGCAGCATCTGTTGTCTCCAGATTTTTAATGATTTCCATTCTAACTGGCGTGAGATGGTATCACAATGTACTTTTGATTTGCATTTCTCTAATGACCAGTGATGATGAGCATTTTTTCATGTTTGTTGGCCTCATGTATGTCTTCATTTGTAAAGTGTCTGTTCATATTCCTTGCTCACTTTTGAATGGGCTTGTTTGTTTTTTTCTTGTAAATCTGTTTTAGTTCTTTGTAGATTTTGGATATCAGCCCTTTGTCAGATGGGTAGAGTGCAAAAATTTGTTCTTATTCTGTTGGTTGCCAATTCACTCTACTGACTGTTTCTTTTGTTGTGCAGGAGTTGTGAAGTTTGATCAGATCTCTTTTGTCTATTGTGGCTTTTGTTGCCAATTCTTTTGGTGTTTCGGTCATGAAGTTCTTGCCTACATCTATGTCCTGAATGATTTTGCCTAGATTTTCTTCTAGGGTTTTCATGTTGTTAGATCTTATGTTTAAGTCTTTAATCCATGTAGAGTTAATTTTAGTGTAAGGTGTCAAGAAGGGGTCCAGTTTCTGCTTTCTGCACATGGCTAGCCAGTTTTTTTTTAACACCATTTATTAAACTGGGAATCCTTTCCCCATTGCTTGTTATTGTCAGGTTTGTCAAAGATCGGTTGGTTGTAGATGTGTTTTGTTGCCTCCAAGGCCTCTGTTCTGTTCCATTGGTCTACATCTCTGTTTTGGTACCAATACCATGCTGTTTTGATTACTGTAGCCTTGTAGTATAGTTCGACATCCGGTAGTATGATGCCTCCTGCTTTGTTCTTTTGCTTTGATTTGACTTGGCTATGAGGGGTCTCTTTTGGTTCTATATGGAGTTTAAGGTGTTTTTTTTCCAGTTCTGTGAAGAAGGACATTGGTAGCTTGATGGGGATAACGTTGAATATGTAAATTACTTTGGGAAATATGGCCATTTTCATGATATTGATTCTTCCTAACCATGAACATGGAATGTTTCTTTATCTGTTTGTGTCCTCTCTTATTTTGTTGAGCAGTGGTTTGTAGTTCTCCTTGAAGAGGTCCTTTACGTTTCTTGTTAGTTATATTCTTTGGTATTTTATTCTTTTTGTAGCAATTGTGAATGGCAGTTTGCTCTTGATTTGGCTGTCTTTAAGTCTGTTTTTCATGTGTAGGAATGCTTGTGATTTTTGCACATTGATTTTGTATCCTGAGATTTTGCTGAAGGTGCTTATCAGTTTCAGGAGATTTTGGGCTGAGACGATGGGGTATTCTAGATATACAATCATGTCATCTGCAAATAGAGACAATTTGGCTTCCTCCTTTTTGATTTGAATACCCTTTATTTCTTTTTCTTGCCTGATTGCTCTGGCTAGAACTTCCAGTACTATATTGAATAGGAGTGGTGAGAGAGGGCATCCTTGTCTAGTGCCAGATTTCAAAGGGAATGCTTCTTGTTTTTGCCCATTCAGTATGATATTGGCTGTTGGTTTGTCGTAAATAGCTTGCATTATTTTGAGATACGTTCCATCAGTACCTAGTTTATTGACGGTTTTAGCATAAAGGGCTGTTGACTTTTGTCAAAGGCCTTCTCTCATCAATTGAGATAATCATGTGGTTTTGGTCTTTGGTTCTGTTTATTTGGTGAATTACGTTTACAGACTTGTGTATGTTGAACCAGCCTTGCATCCCTGGGATGAATCCTACTTGATCATAGTGGATGAGCTTTTTGACGTGCTGTTGCATTGGTTTGCCAGTATTTTACCGAAGATTTTTACGTCTATGTTCATCATGGATATTGGCCTGAAGTTATTTTTTCTTGCTGAGTCTCTGCCGGGTTTTCGCATCAGGATGATGTTGGTCACATAAAATGATTTGGGAAGGATTCCTTCTTTCTGGATTGTTTGGAATAGTTTCAGAAGGAATGGTACCAGCTCCTTCTAGTATGTCTGGTAGAATTCGGCTGTGAACCCATTTGGACCTTGGCTTTTTTTTGGGTGGTAGGCTCTTAATTGCTGCCTCAACTTCAGACCTTGTAATTGGTCTATTCATGGTTTCGACTTATAGCTTGTTTAGGCTTGGGAGGATGTCCAGTAATGTATTCATTTCTTCCAGGTTTACTAGGTTATGTGCATAGAGTTGTTTGTAATAATCTCTGATGATGGTTTGTATTTCTGTGGAATCTGTGGTGATATCCCCTTTATCATTTTTAATTGCATTTATTTGATTATTCTCTCTTTTTTTTATTAATCTGGCTAGTGGTTTGTCTATTTTGTTGATCTTTTTGAAAAACCAGCTTCAGGATTTATTGATTTTTTGAAGGGTTTTTCGTGTCTCTATCTTTTTCAGTTATGCTCTGATCATAGTTATTTCTTGTCTTTTGCTAGGTTTTGAGTTCTTTTGATCTTGCTCCTCTAGCTCTTTCAATTTTGATGATAGGGTGTCTATTTTAGATCTCTCCCCCCTTCTCATGTGGGCACTTATTGCTGTATACTTTCCTCTAGACACTGCTCTAAACGTGTTCCGTAGATTCTGGTATGTTGTGTCTTCATTCTCGTTGGTTTCAAAGAACATCTTTATCATTTCATTGTTTATCCAGTCAACATTGAAGAGCCAGTTGTTCAGTTTCTATGAAGTTGTGCGGTTCTGAGTTAGTTTCTGAATTCTGAGTTCTAATTTGATTGCACTTTGGTCTAAGAGACTGTTTGGTATGCATTTGCTGAGGAGTGATTTACTTCCAATTATGTGGTCAATTTTAGAGTAGATGTGATGTGGTGCTGAGAAGAATGTATATTCTGTGGATTTGGGGTGGAGAGTTCTGTAAATTTCTATTAGGTTTGCTTGTTTCAGGTCTGAGTTCAAGTCCTGAATATCCTTGTTAATTTTCTGTCTGGTTGATCTGTCTAGTTTTAACAATGGGGTGTTAAAGTCTCCCATTGTTATTGTGTGGGAGTCTAAGTCTCTTTGTAAGTCATTAAGAACTTGCCTTATGTATCTGGCTGCTCCTGTATTGGGTGCATATATATTTAGGATCTTTGGCTCTTCTTGTTGCATTGATCCTTTTACCATCATGTAATGTCCTTCTTTGTCTCTTTTGATCTTTGTTGCTTTAAAGTCTATTTTATCAGAGACAGGAAATGTAACTCCTCCTTTTTTTTGCTCTCCATTTGCTTTGTAAATCTTTCTCCATCCCTTTATTTTGAGCCTTTGTGTATCCTTGCATATGAGATGGGTTTCCCGGACACAGCACATGATGGGTTTTGGCTTTTTATCCAGTTTGCCAGTCTGTGTCTATTGATTGGGACATTTATCCCATTTACAAACATTGTTATGTGTGAATTTGATACTGCCATTTTGATGCTAGCTGGCTTTTCTGCCCATTAGTTGACGCAGTTTCTTCATTGTGTTGATGCTCTTTACCATTTGGTATGTTTTTGGAGTGGCTGGTACTGGTTTTTTTTTTTTTTTTCTATGTGTAGTACCTCTTTCAGGAGCTCTTGTAAAGCAGGCCTGGTGGTGACGAAATCTCTGAGTACTTGCTTGTTTGCAAACGATTTTATTTTTTTTTCACTTATGAAGCTTAGTTTGGCTGGATATGAAATTCTGGGTTGAAAGTTCTTTTTTTTTAAGGATGTTAAATATTGACCCCCACTCTCTTCTGGCCTGTAGGGTTTCTGCCGAGAGATCTGCTGTGAGTCTGATGGGCTTCCCTTTGTGGGTAACCTGACCTTTATCTCTGGCTGCCCTTAGCATTTTCTCCTTCATTTCAACCCTGGTGAATCTGACGATTATGTGCCTTGGGGTTGCTCTTCTTGCGGAATATCTTTGTGGTGTTTTCTATATTTCCTGGACTTCAGTATTGGCCTGCCTTGCTAGGTTGGGGAAGTTTTCCTGGATCATATCCTGAAGAGTATTTTCCAGTTTGGATTCATTCTCTTTGTCACATTCAGGTACAGCTATGAAACGTAGATTAGGTCTTTTCACATAGTCCCATATTTCTTGGAGACTTTGTTCATTCCTTTTTACCCTTTTTTCTCTGATCTTGCCTTCTCGTTTTATTTCATTGAGTTGATCTTCAACCTCTGATGTCCTTTCTTCTGCTTGGTCAATTCAGCTGTTGAAACTTGTGCATGCTTCACGACGTTCTCATGTTGTGTTTTTCAGCTCCATCGATTGACTTATATTCCTCTCTAAGTTTTCTATTCTTATTAGGATTTCATCAAATCGTTTTTCAAGGTTCTTAGTTTCTTTGCATTGGTTTAGAACATGTTCTTTTAGCTCGCAGAAGTTTCTTACTACCCACCTTCTTAAGCCTGATTTTGTCAATTCATCACACTCATTCTCCATCCAGCCTTGTTCCCTTGCTGGTGAGGAGTTGTGATCCCTTGTAGGAGGTGAGGAGTTCTGGTTTTGGGTGTTTTCATCCTTTTTGCGCTGGTTTCTTCTCATCTTTGTGGATTTATCCACCTGTCGTCTTTGTAGTTGTTGACTTTCAGATTGGGTCTCTGAGTGGATGTCCAGTTTGTTGATGATGAAATTATTTCTTTCTGTTTCTTAGTTTTCCTTCTAACAGTCTGGCCCCTCTGCTGTAGGACTGCTGAGGTCCACTCCAGGCCCTGCTTGCCTGGGAATCACCTGCAGTGGCTTCAGAAAAGTAAGGGTTGCTGTCAGTTTCTTCTTCTGCTATCTTTGTCCCAGAAGGATACCCACCAGATGTCAGTCTGAGCTCTTCTTTATGAGGTGACTCTTTGGATATACGGGGTTAGGGAGCTGCTTGAGGAGACAGTCTGTCCTTTATAGGAGCTCAAGTGCTGAGCTGTGGGCTTTCTTGTTTATTCAGAGCTGCTAAGCAGGTACATTTAAGTCTTCTGCAGCAGAAATTGTAACCCCGCCCCCCCTTTTTTCCCCAGGTTCTCTTTCTCGGGAGTTAGGGCTTTATTTACGAGTTTCTGTTTTGCTGCTGGTTTTTTTTGGGGCTGCCCTGCCCAGCGAGGAGGCAACCTAGTCACTTAAAACCTAGTCACCACTTACAGAGGTTTTGCTGAGCTGCTGTGTGCTCCACCCAGCTGCTGTGTGAACTTTTCTGCAGTCCTGTTTATATGGGTATAGTTAGAACTGCCTTGGCAATGGTGGCCCACCTCTGTAATGGTGGACTCTCTCTGTAATGGTGGGCTGCCTCAGCAATGGTGGTTTGCCTCGGCAATGGCGGGCTGCCTCAGTAATGGTGAATTACCTCCGTAGTGGTGTACTGCCTCGGTAATGGCGGACACCCCTCCCCACCCAGCTGGATCGTCCCAGGTTCAGCTGTGCTTGCTGTGAGACTCTCAATCCAGAGCATTTCCAATTGTTGCTTTTTTTTCGGGGTGGTGACCAGCTGAGCCTGATCACCTGGCTCCCTGTCTTAGAGCCCCCCCCCTTTTTTTTTAAGTTGAACGGTTAACTCTGTCTCCCAGGTATTCCAGTCACCTGTTGAAAAGGCGTCAGGATATGTGTGATTTCCCGTGTGGTGACCCATTGTGTTGGCTGAAACAGTGTTGCTCAGATTCGTTTCATGGTGCTTTTTTGCTGGGGAATCTGCTGGCCTGGCTCCCTGTTTCAGTTTTCTTTTTAATCAGATTAATGGGCAAATCTGCCTTCCCGGAGATCCAATTGCCATCTAAAATGGTGCCCAGACTCATGTACTGTGTATAGAGAACAGCTGTGCCAGCCAAAGCAGCCGGGCTGGTGACCCATGGCTCTCCTCCACCTGGGAATCTCCTTGTCTGTGGGCAATAACAATTTGTCTGAAAATGTGGCATCCACTCACCCTCCACGCTTTCACTGGGAGCTGCAATCCTGAGCTGCTTCTAATCAGCCATCTTTGACCCCTCCTTCTGTTTTAATTTTTATAAGCACGAGTAATGTTTTTATAAAGACAAAGTCATTAATTCTTTTAAAAGAAGTTATCTGACTAGATGATCTCTAAGAACCATATTTACCTGATAATACCCTCCCTTCAGACATTTACCAATTATTTTGAGACTCAGTTCCGATAAACTTGGATATCTGGTTTTCCTACTCTTAGCATTTTAATGGTAGAATTTTGCAAATAGAAACAAGTTTTAAAGGGAAGTATACAGGTCGCCTGACTATAGGGAGGAAAAAAACTCTACCAACTTTATAAAACAGGTTCAGCTTTTCTTTTTCTTGAGATAGTCTTGCTCTGTCGCCCAGTCTAGAGTGCAGGAGTGCTATATTGGCTCACTTCAACCTCCACTTTCTGGGTTCAAGCAGTCCTCCTGCCTCAGCCTCCTGAGTAGCTGGGATTATAGTCTCCTGCCACCACAGATGGCTGATTTTTATATTTTTAGTATAGACGGGGTTTCACCATGTTGGCCAGGCTGTTCTTGAACTCATGACCTTGTGATCCACCCACCTCAGCCTCCGAAAGTACTGGGATTACAAGTGTGAGCCACCTGGCCTGGCCTCAAATTGTTGTAATACAGCAATCTGTACTGTATGAAACTCCCAAAGGTATCACTGTGATATTAATAGTACAATAAAATAAAAAAGTTGTTAATGTTGACCTTGAGTGGTTAAGAAAAAGTGAAATTGTACTTAAAAAACTAGGAAGATTGTTTACTTTTTAGAAAGTTTAAGAACTTCCATGAAAAGATTGACTTTTTAAATTCAAAAGTGATATTTATTTAAAGAAAGTAAACTGTCAGTTAACCAGAAAACTTTGTTGTACAGAATAACTCATTTTCCTAAAATTTCACTCAGACTAAGTTTTATTGTGAAACTACTTTACACTTACTCTCAAAGTATTATAATATTTTAAGTAGATACCTGTGCAACAATCTTGCATGTTCTTCACATGTACCCCAAAACCTAAAAAAAAAAAAAATTCAACACATAAATGCTTGCGCATGTCAATACTAGAAAATAAGTTCCTGGCAATGTCAAAATCGCCCCTAGGGACAGCACTGTCCCCAGGGACAACTGCTCAGAACAGAAACAGACAAGGAACGAGGATTCTGTGTTAATCTAGTGCCTGGCATGGACTGCTGGGTTCGTTCTCATTTTTTGCTTCATACAGACAATGTGTAAGAGGACATCGTTAGAGAGACATCTCACACACATCCCTAAAAAAAAGAAAGTAGATACATTTAGTAGGTGTTTACTCTCATGTGAGTATTTTTAAGTAAGTCGTGGAACAAACTACATTTGCTGACTGGGCTTGAGGGTCAGAGATCCTTAATGTTCTATTCAAGAGTTTTGTGGAAGTTGATAGTTTATGCCAAAGGGCAGAAGAGGAGGTACAGAATCCTATTATAGTTTAGACTTTACCTTAATGTGCTTACGTATTTGAACTCTGTAAACGTCTAGACCAGAAATAATCAACTCAAGTTAAGATTTAAAGTAATAAAGTTTGTGTGTAAGCATGGTCTTAAAGTATTTTACAAAGACTTTAAGGTATAATTGGCCTTTCTTGTTAACTTGATTTGATCTATTTAGTACATAATAGTATAAACACTTCTTATTAATGATTTCTGGCATTGCTGTCTGCTCATTCACAATAACCTTATTTAAGGCACCAGATGATGATCTAATTTGGAATGTGGAAAATAAAAAGAGACTAGGCTGGAAAACTATCATAGATTGATGGGAGAATGACTGTGATTCTAGCAAACTCTAATTGTATTATATTATCAATTATGGTAGTAAACCTAAAATTGATGATGAAAACCTGTCTGAATTTTTTTTGTGTGTAGCCATTACTTGCAGATTATAGGTTCCTGGTATAGTTAGCACTCTTTACTTAATGTAATAGATCTAGATTCTTGTTTTCAGAGCTTGTTTTTTTTTTCTTTTTCAGCTCACCAAACAGGAAGACAACTGACAGCAGAATTAACAATCTGGTTACACAACATTCTGTGGAGAAAAGCTGCCAGTAGTTTTGAGGTTTGAGAATAATCTCTTTTTCATTCTTTACATTATTTCTTTACTGCAACAAAAAATAGTTCATTCACTATAAAAATAAAAGAGCATCAAATACTGTAATAAACTCTGTCTATTTAGATACCATATAATTATTTAATATTTATAATGTAGAGTGTTAATGATCATTGTATAAAAGTTTATTTTAAAATAATAAGACATGATTCCTTTTTATTGAGAGCTTACAGTGTAAGGAAATGTCATTGCTGATATTAAGGTATAGGAATGTAATTTTTTTTAACATGAGGGTTGAGAAAGAGTTTTATTCCCTTTAAAAAGTTATGATGTAATAAAGAAATGGAAAAAAATTTACCAGACAGTTCAGGTTTTCTATAAACTTAAAGATAAGGTTTTTTTTAAAGCAAAGAACAATTATTTATAGTTTTGGTATATTTCCTTCTAATCTTTGTGTATTACACATTTGTGTGCCTTTGTTTATAAATCAAATGGGATGTACCATTTAAAAAAAGTTGTGGTATGCTTTCATTTGCAATTAATATGTAGTCACAGGGACTGTTTTATATCCTTGATTCGACAATAAGTCCCTCTACACAAAAGACAAGACAAAATACATGAAAAGAAAAAAATTATTTTTATTGACAGTGAACATCAGACAATGAAGGAGAATTATTTCTAGGAAATAAGAATTAAAGTGAGGATTCGTTCGGCGCCATGGCTCATGCCTGTAATCCCAACACTTTGGGAGGCTGAGCCAGATGGATCACGAGGTCAGGAGATCGAGACTATCCTGGCCAAGATGGTGAAACCCCATCTCTACTAAAATAGAAAAAATTATCTGGGCATGGTGGCATGTACCTGTAGCCCCAGCTACTCAAGAGGCTAAGGCAGGGAAATCACTTGAACCCAGGAGGTGGAGGTTGAAGTGAGCCAAGATCCTGCCACTGCCCTCCAGCCTTGTGACAGAGCACGACTCCGTCTCAAAAAAAGAAAGAAAGAAAAGATTAAAGTGAGCTTTACAATTGTGCAGCTTACTGCTTTGAGTTTCCAACATATAGCACAAGAAGAGGAGCTGAAGTAGAGCCTGGCAAGCATCCTGATTTGAGATGCAACTGAGTCTGAGGAGACCAAGGCAGCCAGAATTTATAATACAAAGTTCTGGAGAGGACCACATAGCATAGATTAGGCATTGTAGAAGAAAAGATTGATAAACCTGAAGTCAGAGCAAAGAAGCTATTCAAAATTAAACACAAAGAAAAAAACTTAAAAAATTAAAAGAGCTTCAGCGAGATGAGGGACAAACCAGTGATCAGAGGGTCTTCTTCTAGTGTTTAGCAGGGTACTGATGAGGACGTACATGAAGCAAAATTACCTGAAGCTAGGAGAATAACCATCTATAAATATTAGAGGAAACAGTGTCTGGCACACACATGGGGCTGAGAATAAGGTCTGCTCTTATCACTTAGTGTGAAAAACCTCTAATTTATGGGGCATTGGGTAGAAAACTCAAAAGGGTCTTGTCTCAGAAGAGGGGAATAATTAGTTGTACACTAAGTCCTGCTCCAGAACTACCTAAAAAATTATGAAAGTATGGTGTGAAAGGATCAAATTGATCTCAAGGAACTTAATTGCTTCCCAGAGCAGAATTCAAGAATATTTATAGGAATATAAAACTGTACAGCACCCAACAGGATGAAGTTTACAATGTCTGGCATTCGAGAAAAAAATTACTGAGCATGCAAAGAGGCACGAAAACACAACAACCTATAATGAGAATAAGCAATCAATTGATACTAACCCAAAAGTGACACAGAAGTTAGCATTATCAGAAGACATCTCTTATAATTGTATTTCATGCATTCAAAAAGTTACCTAGAGGCATCGAAGATATATAAAGACCCAAATCAAACTTCTAAAGATGAAAACTATGTTTAGGATGAAAAGCACATTGGATAGTATTAACATCATATTAGACATTGTAGAAGAAAAGACTGATGAAGTTATAGCAAAGAAACTATTCAAAATGAAATACATAGGGGAGAAACCTGAAAAAAATTAAAGGGATTCAGTTAGGTGAGGGACACTTTTAGGTAACTTAATATACAGGTAACTGGGACTCCCAAATGAGGATGGAGATTATAAATATTTGAAAAAATAAATCTTTCAAAACTTAATGAAAACTCTAAATGCACAGATAGAAAAATCTTAACAAACCCAAATACAAGAAACACAAAATGACACCAACACACATAATCAAAGTGCTCATGGTAACTCATGTAAGAGAAAGTCCTAAAAGCAGCCAGATCAAAATGACACCCTACACAAAGAGGAATAAACTAAAGAGAACATCAGATTTCTTGTTGAAAGCAATGCAAGCAAGAACTCAGTGGAGCAACATCTTTAAAATAATGAAAAAAAACAAAAACTTGTCAGCCTAAAATTCTGTATCAAGCACAAATATTGTTTAAAATGAAAGTAGTTGGTACAAATGTATAATAGTGCAGCCACTATGGAAAACAGCGTGGCAGTTCCTCAAACAATTAAAAATATTACCACATGCTGCAGCATTTCACTTTTGCTTATATATCCATAAGAATTAAAAGCAAGATATTTGCACACCAATGTTTCTAGCAGCCAAAAGGTCGAAGCAACCCAAGTTCCATCAACAAATGAATGGATAAATAAAATGTGGTATATTGAAACAATGGAATATTACTTAGCCTTAAAAAGCAAGGACTTCTGATACATGCTATAAGATGGTTGAGCCTTGAGGATATTATGCTAAGTGAAATAAGCCTGTCACAAAAAGAAACAATACTGTATGATTCCACTTACATGAGGTACCTAGAGTAGTCAAATCCGTGGAGAAAGAAAGAGTGGGCTGGATGCGGTGGCTGATTCCTGTAATCCCAGCATTTTGGGAGGCCAACGTGGGTGGATCACTTGAGGTCAGGAGTTCGAGACCAGCCTGGCCAACATGGTGAAACCCCATCGCTAGTAAAAATAACAAAAATTTTCAGGTGTGGTGGTGCACATCTGTAGTCTCAGCTACTCAGGAGACTGAGGCAGGACAATCACTTGAACCCAGGAGGCAGAGGTTGCAATGAGCCAAGATTTTGCCACTGCACTTTAGTCTGGGCAATGGAGAGAGAGAGACTCATGTCTTTAAATAAAGAATAAAGAAAGAAAGAAAGTAGAATGGTGGTTTTTGGGGGCTGGGAGGAGGGGAAAATATGGAGTTGTTTAGTGAATATAGAGTTTCAGTTTAGTATTACTAGACAAAAAAGTTCTGGAGATTAGTTGCAGATTGGCCAATTTTATGTTATGTTTTTTTAACCATAATAAAAATACTTTTTTTAAAAAATGAAAACAAATTAGTCTTTCAGACATTTAAAAGCTGATATAACTAATCACTCAAAGGTCTACATTACAAGGAAGTCCTCTGAACAGAAGGAAATTTATACCAGATGGAAATATCAATCTATACAAAAGAATAAAAAATACCAGAAATGGTAATTATATGAGCAATAGATAAGATTTTTTTTATTATTACAATCTATTTAAAAGATAATTTACTGTTTAAAAAAAAGTAATAACATTGTATTCTGTAAAAGTGAAATGCATGAGAAGAATATATAGGTTAAGAAGAGAGAAATGGAAGTATACCATAAGTGAGGTGGCATAACATCACTTGAAGATAGACTATGATAAGTTAAACATATATACTATATACCCTAAAACAGTCATTAAAATAGCAAAAGAAAGTTTTTTTTTTCAAAAAATGAGATAAAATGAAACCATAAAAATATTTAAATAATCTAAAATAAGGCAGAAAAAGAGGAAAGAGGGATCAAAAAAGATGGCACAAATAGAAAACAAATAGCAAGACGATAGATTTACATCTAAGTATGTGAAAAAAATCACTTTAAGTGAAAATGACCTCAAGACCCCAGTGAAAAGGCAGAGATTGTCAAACTGGATAAAAAAGCAAGACTCAAGTTTATGTACTATTTAAAAGAAATGTACTTTCAACATAAAGATACAAATTGGTTATAAGCAAAAGCATCAGAAAAATATAGAGAAACAAGATTATTCTAAAATTTATACATAAAACAATGTAATGAAAATAGCTAAGACATATTATTAGAAAGTCAAAAACTAATAGATGCTGGCAAGGTTGCAGAGAAAAGGGAACACTTACACACTGTTGGTGGGAATGCAAATTAGCTCAACCATTGTGGAAAGCAGGATGGCCATTTCTCCAAGAACTAAAAATAGAACTACCATTCAACCCAGCAATCCCATTACTGGAAATATACCCAGAGAAAAATAAAGCATTCTATCATAAAGAAATATGCACAAAAATGTTCATTGCAGGACTATTCACAATAGCAAAGACATGGACTCAACCTAAACGTCCATCAATGACAGACTGGATAAAGAAAATGTGGTACATATACCCCCATAGAATATTATGCAGCCATAAAAAGGAAAAGATCATGTCTTTCGCAGGAACATGGATGGAGGTGGAAGCTATCATTCTGAGGAAACTAACACAGGATCAAAAAGCCAAATAACATGTTTTCGCTTATAAGTGGCAGCTAAATGATAAGAACTTATGCACACAAATAAGGAAACAATAGACATTGGTGTCTACTTGAGTGGGGAGGGCAGAAGGAGGGAGAGGAGCAGAAAAGATAACTATTGAGTACTGGGCTTAATACCTGTGTGATGTAATAATATGTACAACAAACCCCTGTTACATGGGTTTACCTATGTAACAAACCTTCACATGTACCCCTAAACCTAAAATTAAAAGAAAGATAATAGCCAAAACAGTCCTGAGAGAGAATAGAACAGAAAGAATCACCCTATTCAATTTCAAGACTTTATATAGCTACAGTACTCTAGACTGTGTGGTATCATCAGAGAGATAGAACCATAGATCAATGGAACAGAATGGAGAACCAAAAAATAATTCCATAAAACATACTCAACTGATTTTTGAGAAAGCACAAAAGTAATTCAATGGAAAACAATGGTGCTTTAAACTAATAGTGCTGGAACATTTGAACATCCATAGTAAAAGAAAAAAAATTACCCTTGACTTTAACTTCACACTTTATATAAAAGTTAACTCAAATGAATTACAAAATTAGATGTAAAATGTGCAACTATAAAAATTTTATAAATATACATAGGAGAAAATCTTCACGATCTAAGCCAGGCAAAGAATTACTAGACTTGACTCAAAAACATGATACAAGTAGTGTGCAGTGGCACATACCTATAGTACCCAGTACCCAGCTACTTGGGAGGCTGAGGTAGAAGGATTGCTTGAGCCCAGGAGTTTGATGCCAGCCTGGACAACATAGCAAGATCCGGTTTCTAAAATAAATAAATAAATAAATAAAAATTTAAAATATCGTATATAAAAATAAAAATAAATGAACTATTTCATGAAAATTAAAAGCTTTTGTTCTGTGAAAGATTCTATTCACTCTCAGGTCCTCACCTCCAAGACTGACAAAGAAAGAAGGAACAACAGTTGTGCCAGAAAGGGCCATGGCCATGTGCAGCCTAATCCCTGCATGAATTGTACCTTATACGTGACTAAAGACAGGGCTGTTAAGAAGTTTATCATTCAAAATATAGTAGAAAGCCAAGTGTGGTGGCTCATGCCTGTAATCCCAGTACTTTCAGAGGCCGAGGCGGGATGATCGCTCGAGCCTAGGGGTTTGAGACCCACCTGGGCAATATAGGGAGACGACATAAATAAAAAATAAAAAATTTAGCCTGGTCTGGTAGCATGCACCTGTACTTCCAGCTGCTCAGGAGGCTGAGGCAGGAGGATCCCTTGAGCCCAGGAGTATAAGGCTGCAGTGAGTTTTGATCATGCTACTTCACTCCAGCCTGGGTGACAGAGCAAGATACTGTCTCAAAAACTAAAAGAAAACCGCAAAACACAGTAAAGGCCACAGCTATCAGGGACATTTCTGAGGCCAGTGTCTTTGATGTCTATGTGCTTCCCAAGTGTTTGTGAAGCTACATCACCGCATGAGTTTCACTATTCACGGCAAAGTAGAATCAATCTCGTGAAGCCCGTAAGGACCAAACATTCCAAACGTGATTTAGAGCTGTGGGTGCTGCTTAGTGACCTCCACCAAAGCCTATGTAAGGAGCTGGTCCTTAAGGAGTGAAGAAAAGCTATCCTCTGAAGAAAATAAAGTGAAAATTATACCAAAAAGAAGAGATCTTGTTTAATGGATGAAAAAAGATACAGACTCGGGGAAAAATTTTCAAACCATGTATACAATAATGAACTAGTAGCTAAAACATAAAAAGAACTCTCTAAACTCAACATATAAAGAAAAACAATTCAAAAATTAGCAAACGATATGAACAGACATTTCACCAGAAAAGGATATATGCATGACAGTAAGCACACAAAAAAAGATGACTTATGAGTCATTAGTAAAATGCAAATGAAAACTTCAAGGACATCCCAATACATAATTCTGAGAATAGCTGAAATGAAAAAAGCTAACCATACCAAATGCTGATGAAGATGTTCAGGAACTGGAATTTCATGGTGGAAACATAAGATAGTACAAACTGTTTGGAAAATAGTTTGGCAGTTTTCTCTAATGTTAAACTTGCCCCCACCATGTGATCCAGCCATTTCAATCCTATGTATGTACTCAAAAGAAAAGGAATTATTTATCCATAGAAAAACTTGCCTGTAAAAGCTAATAGGAGCTTTATTTATAATAGTTAAAAACTGTGAACAGCCAAATGTCCATCGACAAGTTAGTGGATAAACAAACTGGTATGTTCTTCATTGAAATACTACTTAGCAGTAAAAAGGAATGAACTATTGATAGATGCAGTAATGGGGATAAATCTAGAAACTGTTTTGCAGAGTGAAAGGGGCCAGGCAAAAAAGTATTAATACATATTAGATGATTCAATTGTATAAAAGCCTATAAAATGAAAATTAATAGTATATGAAGCACATTCATAATTGTTTCGGGGATGAGAGACTGGAATGAGCTGGATTGAGGGATTACAAAGAAAAATGGGTTGTAATGGATGTGTTAACTACCCTGACTGTTGATGGTTTTGGCTATGTATATATATGTCAAAACAATTGTACAGTTTAAATATATGTAGCTTTTTGTATGTCAGTTGTGCCTCAATAAAACTGTTTTTCAAAAATGTTATGGTAGGTTTTGTAGGAGAAAGATGTGAAGAGAAAAAAAGGGAACAAAGATTGAGAAACAAAGAATTAGACCCAAGAGAAGGAAGGAGAATCCCTCATGTAGAGACCTAGGTCTTATGGTTAGGTACTGCAAAATCGAATGATGTTCTCTTTTAGAAGGCCTTTATTTTTTTGCTGAATAGGTGAACAACTACTTCAGAATTCCCATTCTTCTATTGATTCTTTTTCTTTCCTCTCATTTTCCGATCCTGCTGAATACTTTTCTTAAAACATCCACTTCCAACACTGGAGAGGAATGTAATCTGATTTCTAATTGATTATTTCTAGTATGACATATTTCTAATCTACCATGACTAATGTAATAGTCAAAGGCAGTGTTTTACCTATTCAGCACAGTTGTTTCTAGTTGGAAAGGGTGTTTTATTCCTTGAAGGTCCTAATGTCTCCTGTTCTTAATTGAAAAATACGAAGTTTCTTGATAGGGTATGAGGGAGTCATTTAGCTTGCCTTGGTTTATAAGCAGTCTCAGTTTTCTTAGATTAAGAAATAAATATCCAAGTTATTTCTATCAGATTTTCCCTAGCTAGCTTCTCACCATTGAAAATTTTAAAGTTGCTCGAGAGAAAATGTATTTTTGTATAAAAACACAGCAGCATCAATTACAATAGTAAAAACCCTGTAAATTCACTAAATATTTCACATTAAGAAAGTTGTTATGTATTTGATTGTTATGTATCTCTTAAAATTGATTACCGTGAAGACTACATAGCAACATAGATTAGTATGTACAAAATTAAATGGAAAGAATAGAACATGAAATTTTATATAAGCTTTGATTACAACTTGGTAAATATACAAAAGAATAAAGTTAAAATTGAACACAGATAAATGAAAATAGCTGCATTTGCATGGTGAATTATGGGTGTTCTCTTAAATTTTTTATCGTTTTAATAACTTTTAAAATAGATGTTAAGTTTTCTGGGGTGGTTCACTACACTCGAAGACTCTTCATCCTATGTGAAACTTCTAATGTGTAGAAAAAAGAAAGAATATTGATTGCCATTTTATCTAAAACATATTGACTAAGACTGCTAATAAAATGCACTTAGAACTCAATATAAAGGATATTGTGTTTTGGTTGCCTAAAAAAGATACCAATAACATCTTTTATTTGTTTCTAGAGGTGACTTGGGAAAGATAGGGTAGAGACATCACTGTGATTTTTTTTTGTTTCTTTTTAAACTTTAGGTACAAAATTACGCTGATGCCCTACACTGGTACAATTATTCTCTGAGGTTTTACTCACCTAATGAAATGGATGTGGACTTCGCCAAGCTGCAGAGGAACATGGCTTGCTGTTACCTGAATTTGCAACAACTTGATAAGGTCCTTTGATTTATCTATTTTCAGAGATACCAAATGTTCTTATGTGCAGTGACAGAGAGATAGATGCCATGCTGTGTCTTTTTGTCTGTTAGTTTAGGATGTCCGAGAGTTCCTTCATATAGAACAAGCTCAAATTGACATTTTCTTGATTTCCACACTGTAAACATTGAGTGAAACTTCCCAAAGAAAGGGAGAATTTGGAATACCATTAAGTCTATTACCCCTTATTTTTCACACTCTATTCTGAAAGGTAATGTATCATTGGAACTCCTTTACAAAGTTATCTGATACTAACCATTTGTGATATTGCTCTTTCCAGCAAACTAAATTTTAACGTACACATTTTTGTCAGGCATTCATTGAGAGCAAATACTTGGATGACGTGGCCATTCTTTCACTTTCTGGGTTGTTATTTCTTGCCTTTCCAACCACCCTAGAAGATGTTCTTTAACTGATTTCTTATCAGGAAAAAATTCTAGAAGGTAAAGAAGATAAAAGCTTGTTTAAAGATAGAACGTAAATACTTTCCAAAGCAATTAGAACATTGCTTCCTTTGGGTATCATATTGTATGCACATAATAAGGGGTATTGGCTCTTGGAAGGACAAAGAACTAGAAAGACAAGTGTGGACCCAAATGAAATATGAAGCTTTTTGTTGCCTTTCAAGTTTTAATGACAGGTCTAACCTTCATTCACATAGGTCATTAAGGGTAGTGATTCCAGATATTATCTTTGAAGGTTTATTTATGTTTGAAGGATTGTTTATCTGACTTAAACAGTTTAGATTTTCTTTCAAGAAAATATTTGCTATTTAGTTCATGTATTATAAATTCACAGTCCTGGAAGAGAACTTGAAATGTTACTTAATTAATCATAGTGTTTCACAGGCTAATATTTAACTGATTCAGAAAATAGTTACCTACAGTTTAAGACTTTAAAGGAAGATGATCATGTAGATTTTGTTAACCTAATTCTGCACAGGGTAGCACTATTTCAGAAAGGTAGTTGCCTACTGTTTACTTAAAGACCAGTAAAGAAGGCAATCACAGAGCTTTTATAACTTCCATGATTTATGGCACAGTTGGCCGGGCAGCTTGAGAAGGACCTATATCTGGACATAGACATGCTAGTTGGGGAATGGGTGCATCTGCAGGCCAAGGGAGGGTATCTAATCAGCCATCAGGAAAGAAAGACACAGTACCAGACATTGTGCTAGTGTCTGAGGTTACAGAGATGAACAAGGTATTGTTGCCTTCAACTCACCCAAGCAGCTGGCATCAGGTATCCAAAAAGGGCAGGTAAGCAGAGCATGGCAATGAGAGAAATCTAGGTGTTGTAAATATTCTGTAAGTCAGGCAAGCAGATGGTTGGCATCACATAAGCATAACCACAGGGAACAGGATTTCAATCACAGAGATTTGGAGTCTGAGACAGTATACAAATCTTTGAGGAATGGGAGTGTGTGCAGACAGATTAGAAGGAGCAAGGTAGATCTCCAAACCTAAAGGGACTAGGATATCAAAATGTTTTTAAGAGCAGAGGCCCTGCATAGGGAGCCAGACTGAGAAGCAGTGACCAGAAGAGGAATACAAGTTGACTAGATACAGTTTTCTGAGACTTGGAGCAGTGCTTCTTAAATCTCCTCTAATGTCAAGTTTGGTCCTAGAGCCTAGTATAGGGCTGAGTTTATGATTAGGAATTCAAATGGTAGTAATAGTGATGTTAGGAAGAATAGGAGAACAGTAAAACAGGAATATTATAATTGTGTATATTTAATATGTAACTGTATCATTATGGCCAAATTAGTGGTGAAGCCAAAGGATATTTTGAATATGTTCATAACTTTGTTGATGACCGTTAGTATATTTCTCCATTTCATCCTTCCTGTCTTGAATTTAGCAGACCTTAATTGGTTACCCTCCATATGCAGTGAATATTCTCTTATGCACAAGAACAATAGAAAGGTGAAAAAAAATACACAATCCATCATATTCTAATAATCCCACCTTGCCAGTGTCTAACCTTTGTTAACTTTCATTGTCTGCTTTCTTCATTCCTACAGTGGTAATTTTAAAACTTTTTTTTTCTGTCCTTAAGCACCCATGCTTTCTCCTTTGTTTTAGCAAAAGATCTTATTGTGTAATTTACTGAGCTTTTATCACTGATGGGAACTTCATCAATTTCTCTCCTCTTCACTTATCCTTTCTTTTCTCGTTCCTCTGAGAAAGAAGTAACTTTCTCTGGGACCTTACTCTGCAGATCTCAACCCTAGCTGTTTAATCATTCTCTACTGTTTCTTTCTCCTGTCACTATAATTACCTTGAAGTCTTCTTTATCCAAAAGCCTTCCTTCAACTTTGTGATCCTCCTCAAACTTCAGTTCTCTCTGTCCTTCTTTTTGTTGCCAAGCTTTCTAATTCAAAAGTACTTCTGTCTGTATTTTCTTTTCTTTTCTTTTTTTTTTTTTTAGATGGAGTTTTGCTCTTGTTTTCCAGGCTGAAGTGCAATGGCGCGATCTCGGCTCACCGCAACCTCTGCCTCCTGGGTTCAGGCAATTCTCCTGCCTCAGCCTCCTGAGTAGTTGGGATTACAGGCACGCGCCACCATGCCCAGCTAATTTTTTGTATTTTTAGTAGAGACGGGGTTTCAGCATGTTGACCAGGATGGTCTCGATCTCTTGACCTCGTGATCCACCCGCCTCGGCCTCCCAAAGTGCTGGGATTACAGGCGTGAGCCACTGCGCCCGGCCTTCTGTCTGTATTTTCTAGTGTTCATTCATTCAAAAATATTTACTTATTGTCTCCTGTTCTAAGCATTGAGGATATAGTAATGAATAAATATATAAAAACTCTTATACACATGGACAAAAACTGCTGTTCCCATTATTTCCACTAGGAGAGGCAAACAATAAAAAGATAAATAAATATTATATTATATTATATTATAGGGGTCAACAAACTTTCTGTAAAGAACCACAGTAAATATTTTAGGTTTTGCAGGCTGTACAGTCTGTGTTGAAACTAATCAACTCTGCGATTATGTGCCTTGAAAGCAGCCATAGACAATATGTAAGCAAATTGGTGTGGCTGTGTTCCAATAAAACTGCATTTTGGAATACTAAAATTTGAATTGTATGTAATTTTCATGTATCATAAAATATGATTCTTTTATTTCAGTCACTTTAAAATGTAAAATTGTTCTCAACTTATGAATTGTACAAAAAATATGGTGGACCAGATTTTGCCCAAAGGCCTATAGTTTGTTGACTCCTGGTATATTAAATATTGATAAGTGCTAAGGAGAAAACTAAGCAGGAAAGGGTGATATTAAATGTTTTAGAGGAGGGTGAATAGTTGAAATTTTAGATAGGGTGGTCAAGGAAGTCCTCACTGGGAAGATTGTTTTTAAGTAGAAACCTGAGGAAAAAGAGCATTCCAGACAGTGGGAATAACAAGTGCAAAGGCCCTAGGGTATTTAACCAATGGCAAAGAGATCCTTGTTACTGGAGTGGAGGGAACATTGGGGGAATTAGGAGATGTGACCAGGGAAGTAGTGGTGTCTTAGTCTGTTTCATATTGCTGTAACAGCATACCTAAGACTGAGTTAATTTATAAAGAAAATAGGTTTATTTAGCTTATGATTCTGCAGGTTGGGAAGTTCAAGGGCCATGGTACTGGATTTCCTTGGCTTCTGGTGAGGGCTTTGTGCTTGATCAAAATGTAGCAGGAAGTCAAAGGGATGTAGACTCATGCCAAGGGGCTTCCTGGCTTTATAACAACTTACTTTCATGGAAACTGTTTCTGGTTTATTTCCTTGTATACTATGTTTGTCCTCAACTGGAGTACTTGCTGCTTTCTACCCATGATCTATGCTTTCTACCTCAGTATATTTTTTCATGCTTCTTCATTGCAAATTACCTGTTTTTTATGTCCCTACACTTTAAAATTCCCCTTTTCAAAGCCTAGCTCTTAATGGCATTCTTAGCTTCCTGAGGAAATTTCCTTGTCTTGCCTTTCCTCCAAGACTTTGTAACAGTTCTGTTTATCCCTAGATACTTATTTTCTGCATTGTATTATAGTTGTTTCTATACCTGTTGTAGTCATCTATTAGACTGCCACCTCCATGAGGACAGGGACCAAACGTTATCTTTATTTGCCCTTGTACCCAGCATAGTGCCTAATGCATAGTAGATGCTCATTAGATTAAAAATAATTATAGAAACGCAATAAATACCTATCAAACAACTTTCTCTGATAATAGTAATTCCGTTTTCTCATGCTATTTCTCTCCTTGCTTTATGCATAATTGGAAATTAATAGTGATTAAAATCTATGAGTGCTCTTTGATTATCAGAACCGAATGAGAGTATAGTATTAAAAAATCATCCCACTATAACTTTCTCCAGCTCAGCTCTTTTCTCTTTTGAGTGTGGGGAGGACAGTTATGTCTCACGTACTGGTTATATATTGTTTCTCTTTACCATATAAACTTCAAAAAATCATGCCCTTCTGTTACAGGACTGAAAATGAGCTTGTGATCAGCAGATGTAAACTAGTTATACTCACTAGATGGCACTGTGGCCTCTGTTTGTACTTCATCGGCTTGTGATCGACTGATGTTGAGGTTATTTTGTAATTCTCAGGTAGATGTACCTTTCCCACAAATGCATCTATATGGATTTAAAAAAAAAAAAAGCACTAAAGAAACATAAGATGAAGGTTAGGTGTGACACATTTGATGCAGCTATACTGTAAAAATACCCTAATTGAGATTTCAAGTCAACAAATATTGAATGCCTAACATGTGCCAAGCACTATAGAGTAAGTAGAAGACATGATCTATTCTATAGATGAGCCTGAAATATAAATGCAGAAACAATATTTATGTATATAAAATAAGTAGAGAGTAATAAAATACTGTACAATCAAGCATTATTGTATGGTATATACCATATGAACTTAGAATAGGAATATATAGATGAGGGTTTTTGTGACTATTGAT